GGATTTATTTCAATAAGTATGTTGGAAAGCTTTTTTGGAGATTTGCAACAATTTGGAAAAACAACTTTTTTTCTCTAGCTTCCCTTACTGTAAGAATACAGTGTAAAATACATAAAACATACAAAATATGTGTTAATCCACTGTGTACGTTATCAATAAGGCTTCCAGTCAGCAGTTGGCTATTAATAGTTAAGTTTTTGGGAAGTCAAAAGTTACATGCGGATTTTTGACTGCATGGGGTTAGTGCCACAGCCCGTGTTGTACAAGGGCCAACTGTGCATGGATGTCCTTTAAGTGGTACTGTGGCTGGTGGGGTCAGGGGAGACAACCACCAATCCAGCCCCCTCATTTGTAAGACTAGAATTCCCCTCCCGGCCCTCGCTCCTCCCCTTCGCTGTCCTCCCCTGGATCTCCACTGGAATCCTGCCCATCCTGGCTACGTGGGTCCCTCCTCCAGGAAGCCTCCTCTGATGTCCTCAGAGGCTTTGTCTCTCCTCCACATGGCCCTTTTTTCTTTTCTGGGTTATCTTTCTCCTCTGTCTTCTTCCTCCCTTTCTACCTTCCCTCTGTCTCTTTGTATCTCTTAGCCCTGACCTTGCCTCTCTCTCTCTCTCCCTCTGTCTCAGTCTCTTTCCGTGTCCTTCTCTCCCTACTGTGTGTCTCTTATAGCCTGTCTCCCAGCCCCTCTCTCCTCCTTTGCCCTGTCTGCCATTTCCTGGCGTCCAGGAGCTCTCTTCCCCTCCACCCCTCTGTGAGTGCCTCGCCGCTCTCCGCCTCCATCTGTGTCTCCTCTCCCCAACTCTTTGGCTCCGTGTGCCCCACCCCTCCCTGTTTTTCTTCTCCTTTCTCCTCTTCTCTTCCTCACGGCCTCCGCAGATGAAATGCAGCATGCCTTCCTGCAGAGAGCTGGCCAGAGAGCAGCTGTCAGTGCTGGAAGGAGCTGCTGAGCAGTGGCCAGGAGACCCCGGGAGCCTGGGCAAGCCATGCAGGCTGAGCCCCAGCCCCGTGGGGCCCCTTTGGAAACTTTCCACACCTTCCCTGCAGGTTCCAGAGTGGGTATAGTGCCTTTTTCGGGATTTGTGACCTTGGAGGCCAGCCTAAGCCCTGTCTGCCAGCCCCTGGGGACAGCATGCTCTGGGCCCTGACTCGGAGGGCTGGGGCAGTGGCCAAGCTCCTGGGATTGGTGGAATCTGCAGAAGCATCACCAAGGGGCCAGGCCAGGGCTAGAAGGGGAGGGGATGCATGAGCTCAGGTCTCCTGGGGATAGGATGAGATCATGGAAAGGACATGGAGTAACAACTTTTGTCATTCATTCATTCAACAAACAATCATGAAGCCACCACCATGTGCCAGGCTTAGCCCTGGGGACAAAGATGAATCAGGCATGGCCCCTACCCTTGAAAAGCCCACAGTCACCCCTCAAGTGGCTTGTTGGGAACACTTTCTGACAGAGGCCACTCGGGCATGGGAAGATCATTCCAGCAGTGAGAAGAGTGGAGGGAACACGGAAGACGCTGTTTCGGGCAGAAGGTGATGGGGACCTGGGGTAGCCATGAGGTAAAATCAAGGGGACTCTGGTGGCTGATTGGACGAGGACAAGGAGGGAGAAGGAAGAGTCAAAACAGGGTCCACCTGACTTGGATGTGGGTGCTCAGTTGAGACACTTCCCGGAGAAGGGGAAGGTGGGTTGGATTTTACAGGCTCTGGAAGACTGGAGGTGGAGATGCCCCAAAGGCCAGTGGACAGATGGGTCTGCGCTAGGACGGCAGTGCCAGAGTGTCATCATTGCGTGGTTGCCGAAACCATATAGGTAGGGGACTCGTCCACAGATTGTGAGTGAGAAGAAGGCTGTGGATAGAGTTCCAAGGGGCCCCCACATTTATCAGACAGAAGAAAGGAGCCCACCAAGAGACCAGACAGGAAGCTGGAGAGGAAGATGAAGAGAACTGGGGCAGACGGTGCTGCGCAGTCCTGAGAAACCAAAACCCTAAGGAGGGCAGGGCAGAGGCATGGGCACGCGGGATTCCCAGTGAATGGCTGCATCCTACCGGCCTGGGGCGCAGACTGCAGGGGAGGGCACCTCCGGCAGGGGTGCAGCACCCTGTCCTGGAGCTGGAGGGAAGGAGGTAAACGTGTGTGGCTTAGAGAAGGACAGAATGGGAATTTGAAAAAAATCATTGCTGATTGTTTCTAATTTCTCAAAGTATCTAAAGTCTTCTGTTTAGGGTCTTATGCTGCACAGTAAGGGCCTGGAACTGCTGAAGTTGAGGAATGTTTGGGGCGCCAACCAGACACTGAAACATTGCCAGCGGAGCTCAAGATCTGGCCAGCATCTTGTAATGCCTGGGCCCCTCCAAATGCCCCCTCCCCTCTGCTGGCTCCAGGATTGCACCTTTTGGATGGCCACATGGCCATCGGGCAGTATTCACTATTGCTCCTGTGCAGCCTGCTGCAGCCTGTTTCCCTGGTGGCTCTGTTTCCTCTGCTGGACGTGGAGGCCCTCCCCTTTAAATGGGCCTCCATGGAGTTAAGGAAGGGATGGCCTTTGCTGCCAGGAATGGATTCCAAGAGCTGCTGGCAGGTTGTGCACTGGTGGCAGCCACACCCAGTCCCCTTCTTGCCTGATCACACTCCAGGGACAGGCAGGAGTGGGGATGACTCTGTGGCCCTGGCCAGAAACCAGCTTAGCCCATCACTTGAGAGTGCACAGTGCAGAGTGTCCAGAAGACATTCATTCCTCCTGCCTCCTTAGGACTTTACAGCTACAAGGAATCTGCCAAAGGGATACATGTCCGTTTGACACACAGGAAAATTGGGCTTTGGGGCAAGGAAGCCACTTGCTCAGGATCACCTGCAGGAGACACAGCCTTGGCAGCAGCCTGACCTCAACAGCACTGGGTCAAGGCCGGCACCCTGTGAGGGCCTGTTCATTCCTGTGTTGTTCATGGGTCTTCTGTAGCTGGCTTCCCAAATGAGCTGCCCTTACCTCCTAGTCTTTGCACATTCTGTTCCCTTACCAGGAACACCCTCCCCCTCAGTTCTGCCCCACTCTCATTCTCACCTGATTCATCATATCCTCAGTGAGCAATGCCTCCTCTAGGAAGTCTGCCCTGACTCCAGGTTGGAATAGAAGCTTTTTGTGTGCCCTCACAACCTCATGTGCTTCTGTCTTCATAGTGCTTGGCCAGGATCAAAAGACCTTGATTTTCAAGACGGTGAGTGCCTGGCACAAGCCCCTACCTGTTCACAATCGTCCAGCACCGGACATGCACTCACTTGGTGTTTGTCAGATAAATGAAATGAATAGGTGGAGAAAGGGAGGAAGGGACAGAGAAGGGGTTTTGGGGTCAAACAAAAGCCTCCCCAAAGAGTCTGAGAGCTAGGGGGGCACATGGATATCACACAGCTCAATCCCTTCCTTATACACAGAGACCCTGAGAGTACTGGAACATAAATGGGTGTGTCTAAGGTGTCAGAGTGAGTGTGGCATGTCCTGGGCTAGAACCCACACCAGTGATGTTTAGCAGTAATGCAGAGATGGGATTTCAGGGACTGTGCAGGCCAGCTAGAGAGAGATTGTTGGGCCAGAGGAACTTACTGGGAGTCATAAAACCAGCCCATTGGAGTGCAGGGCTGGCTGGCAGAGGGCTGCAGGGTTCATCCCTCTGCTCCAGCACTGTGCAATCCCAGCCTGACTGTGTGTCAGTAGCCTCTCCATCCCCAACAGCTTGTCCACTTGCCATTCTCCTCAGACCTCCCTGGGGCTGTCAACATGCTGACCTCCTGGCTTCCCACCTGGCTTCCCACCTGGCTTCCCACCTGTCACCACCTGTCACAGGCAATTAGAGTAACAGAGGATTTCCCCCCTGCTTCTGGGATGGGTGGTGAGCTGGAGGGGAGTGTGCTGTCTGGGGGAGGGGGTTCAGGGTACACCCATGGCTGGGAGGGCACAAGGCGCTACCACCCCTCTGCCCACTTAGAACAGGTCGGGAGACTGAGGCCTGGGGAAAGAAGGGGCTTGCCAGAGTGCTGTCCCCACAGACCCTGGGCCTCCTGAGGGGTCTTCCTAACTGGAGCCTGGGAAAGCCTACACCGCGTCCTCAGACCTCATCCCACCAAAGGAGGGTGATTCCTAGTCTCATCTAAGGCCATGACCCAAACTATTCATTTCTATATTCTCAGCATATAGCACAGGCCTGGCCACAAGAGCAATTGCGTGACAAACGTTTGTTAAATGAATGACTGGTGAATACGGGTGAGATGGAGACAAGCTCCCTCCCGCATATACACAGCGAGACTACTTGTGCAGGCTTCAGCTCTGGTTGTACCTCCTCTATGCCACTGCCACTCTCTGCCAGACCCTGCCCCCAGCGGGGTTCTATTGCTCTGTCCTTCCCCAGAATCTTACCCATCAGGGCTGCCCCAGGCCCTGGCTGTGGCCACACAGTCTCTGCTCTGTGGAGCCTGGTACGGTCAGGAGACAGACATGAAAACACAGACCCCTGTCCCTGTCCTAATGGAGGGAACCTCGAATGCCAGTGGTGAAGAGCCATAGCCCTGCTGAGGGTTTGAAGGCTTTTGGGAGGAGGTTTTCTCAGAGTTGGTCCTTGGATAATTACTGGAGGCTGTCCCTGCCTGGACCATCCGGTGCAGGGGTCCGCCTGATGGTGTGAGGCACAGAGATGCAATATGAGACACTCCTGAGCCTTGACTACAGGCCAGCCACTGCTTCCATAGCCCTCACACACCCTGGAGGTTGCTCGTACAATCACTCCCACTTTACAGATGGGCAAACTGGGGCACAGAGAGGTACAACCAGTGAGCAGCAGAGCCAGGATTTGGACCCAGGCTGGGTGACACCAGGATATCTTCCGGCTACACCACATTGCCTTTCAGGGAGCGTGGAACCTCAACTTTGGTGTAGGTCACTGGCCTGAGGCTCCCCCCAGTTGCTGATGACCTGACATGTGACTGAGCCCACTTTTTCTTTTGTGTTCCAGGTCACTTTCTGGGCAACAACACAGTCATCGATGTCCTTCGGCAGGCAGGGCTGGAGGTGGAGCACACACCCGCTGGGCAGACCATCCATAGGTAAGTAGCAAGGCTTCCTGAGTGCAGGACAGGCTGGCCCTTGGCCACAGGTCCCCAGGCCATGCCTGACCATGTGCTGCATGGCCAGGCTGCACCCTGCCTCCCTGCCAGCCCGCAGGGAGAGCTGTGAAGAAGCCTCTGGGGAGAGGCGGGAGGGGGCCTAGAAGAGTGGAGAGGGTGGTGCTGGAGGTAGGAACACTGGGGTGGAGGCTGGTGCCCAATTCTGGAAGGAGATAAGGTGGCCAAGGCAGTGGCGGTGGGAATGCGAGGAACATCAGGCTTTGAGAGATGTTCAGTGTTTAGAGACTGGTGACTGGGGGTAGAGAGTGGAAGAACTGCCTAGAGGATGTGGGTAATGCCCAGGCCCTTAATCAAGATGTGACTGTGATTAGGACGAGGAGTGGCCTGGCCTCACCCCCACATCCCTGCCCCACCCACACCTCATCACTGCCTACCTCTGACCACATCTCTTTTCCTGCCTGAGCACACCCACTCCACTCAAATATCCAGAGTGGCCATCCTCTCTTCCTGTTGGGGTGTCCTCACCCTACCTGAGACTGACAGCTGCCCGAGGGTAGGGGCGAGCTGGGGCTAACCGTGGTGCACAGGGCCAGGCCGGCACGGCAGAGGTATCAGGGCAAGCTGGGCATCTCTGGAGGCCAATGACAGGATCATTAAATTCAGGGATTCCATGCAGCCCAAGTTCCAACTGTTAGGCAGGAGCCTTCCTTACCAGCAACCACAGCAACCACAGTGCAATTTCAGACCCCTCACTGACGTTACAAGAGCCAGAGTCTGAAAGAGCTTGCTTGCGTAATCATAGCCAGTATTTAATCACTGTTCACTGCACCAAGCTCTAAGCATTTTTGATTCATTAAGTCCTCACAACCATATGAGGTAGAAACGTATCTCCATCCTAAAATTGAGGCACTTGAAGCCCCGAGAGGTGAGTCACTTACAAAAGGACACACAGCTCTTATAAATGGCATGCTGTCTCTAGGGTCTCCCTGAGCTCTGCACCACTCCCTGTTCCCACTCTAGGGACTGGGGGTCCCCAGAAATGATGAGGCCTTGCTCCTCACTCTGCAGAGATGAGGCCTGAGGTCACCCAGAGCACTGGGACTCTGGTCCCCTAGCTCTGGACCAGTGCTAGCCCCTGTCTCCACAAGACTTCCACAGGAACCTCTCAACTCCCTTCAGCTGGATTCCTTCCTATTCTCATCTTCTGAGTTTTCCTGAACATTTGAGTGTAGCACAAATCAGTCTGTCCTGGGCCAGAGCAGGCCTGTGTTTAAGGGTCGAGGGACCCAAGGTAGCCCTGGGGACAGCGCATTCCTCAAGCTCCTCCTCACAGCCCCAAGGACTTGGCCTTGAAACTCCTTGTTTCTGCTGGGTTGGGGCTGGGGGTGGTGGGGGCAGGGAGACCAGTGGGATGCCTCAGCTCCTATTCATCTCAGAGCCGAGGCGCTTGAGGAGGGTTGCCCCATGGCACCCCCACCACCAGCCCTGCTCTGAGAGCTCTTGCCTGAGTCTCCATGTGCAGGCCGAACCCCTGCGGGCGGGGTGATGGGCAGGATGCCAGGGAGGCCCCCAACAATAAAAACCATCATCGGTCACAGGTGCTTCCTGGAGCCATCTTTTTGTCTGCCTGTTTTGAATTATCTCCCCAGCAGCTGCGGCATCTTCTGGACCTGGGAATCTGGGGTTGCCGCGGGGTCTGGGGGCAGAGAAGCCGAGCTGATGGCCTTCTCTCCTTCAAGGAAAGAGGAGCCCTCATGGCGTCGTGCAGGCAGGAGTAGACAGGGAGGACAGGCTGTTGGCTGCCTCGGGTGCTGCCTTATGTTTATAATTCCTGAAATTGTGCTCAACCTTCCCCTGGATCAGATGTCCTCCAAAGGAATTCTGTTTGGGACACAGAGGAAAGAATGAAGGGGAGAGTTAGCAGAGGATGTCCTCAGGCTGAGCAGGGTCTGTGCACACCTCTGTGCAGAATGTGAACTCCACCCATTCCTCATCACTGCTTCTGCGCCTACAACAACCAGCATTAAAGGGAGGCCAGCTTACGCCAGGCACTGTTAAACCTCATCTCATTCATCCTCATGACAGCTCTATGAAGCAAATACTATTACTACTCCATTTCACAGCTAATTGCTGCTTGAGACGATGGTGTCACAGACGCTGTAAGTTGTGGAGCCAAGATGTGAACCCACGGCTGTTTACCTGTGGCTCAAGCTCTAACCTTCTTAACATTGTCCCGCCTCCCTGAAGAGGTGTTCAGTAAATAAGTGTTGAATGCATCAATGGGTGGTTGGACAAATGACACAAGCAACTGTATTAATATTTAATAATATTTAATTAGTAATGCTAATTACCAAGATGTTTCAGCTGCTTACTATTTGCCAGGCACTGTTCTAAGTGCTTTCCCAGTGTGAACATAATCTTCATGATGCCCCAATGAGGTACAGGCTGAAATATTCCCATTTTACTTAGCAGGAGACTAAGGCACAGTGAGGTTAGGGAACTTGCATAAAGTCCCTCAACCAGAGCTTGTCTAATGAATGAGACCCTGACCAAATCAGATATGCCCCCAGAGACCAGCCCATGGCTCACTCCCTCACCTCCTACTAGTCTGGGCTCCAATGTCACTCAGCAGTGACCCAACCACCCTCCTGCCTCGAGCCCTCCATCCCCACGCTCTCTCCTGTCTCTGCTGTATTTTTGTCCTCCGCAGTTACCACCATCTGATGTCCTGGATGTCTTACTGTCTGCCTTCTGCCTCAGAACCTGAGCTCTAGCAGGGCAGGGACTTTGTTTTGGTTACTGCTTTTGCCTGATTTCTAGAAAGGCGCCTGGTGCAGAGTAGATACCCAATAAATATTTTATTGAATCAATATTTATTGAATATATGAAACAATGAGTTACACTCCATCTCTGAACACCAGATGGTGGTTTTCCTGGGTTACTCTCACCAGGCCCAGCAAGGACACCCTGGCATTTTCTCCTGCTGTGACAACTTACCCGTGAAAGCGCATTCCCCATCACACAGATGACACGCTCCAACACATGGGCCTCACTTGCTGTTGCCCCTTTCCAGCCCTGCCGCCCGGACCCCCGCACCCCTCCCTGAGGGGGCCTCAGCAAGCCCGGCCCCAGTGACCCCAGCTGCTGCTGTCCCCGCAACACCCTCGGCGACCCCCACCACCCCACCCGAGGAGGAGGACCCAGCCCTGTCCCCACATCTCCTGCTCCCCGACAGCCTCAGCCAGCTGGAGGAATTTGGGCGGCAGAAGAAGTGGCACAAGAGGCAGAACAAACACCAGCGGCCACGGCAGTTCAATGACCTCTGGGTCCGCATCGAGGACAGGTGAGCTGAGGAGGGGCAGGTCTGTCAGGAGCTGGGTATCTCTCCCGGCCAGCCTGCCTCAGAGCCACCCAGAGCCAGGCACGTCTGTTATATGCAAGCCCCACGTTTAGAAAGGGCAGGTGGGTACCTGAGTGGACACTTCAGGGCTACTTGACCCCATTCACAAAAGATCCCCCTGCTCATCCTTTGTGGTTTACAGAGCACATGCACATCTAATTTTTCATTTTTATTCTCAAAGTAAGAGCAACTACAATTTTCTGTTTTTTGAGTGAGGAAATAGAAGTTTCCCTCAGGCACATTGGACAAAAGTCTGCTTTGCCCTTGGCTTTCCTGGATGCCCTGAAGTGCAAAGTGGGTTCCATCTGGGCCACAGGCCAGAAGGTGAAACTAGGGTAAAGTGGAGCAGGTGGGCTGCATCAGAAGGCTGTGTTCTCCCTGCACCTGGAAGGGCTGAGTGCAGACACCTTAGCAGAGAGACAGGGAGATCCCGCTGTGCCAGAGAGAAGGGCAGACCAGGCCCGACACCCTTAATGCTCTGGGCTCTGTCTTGGGGGCTGGGGATTTGTGATAAATCTCATTGCAAATGAGCAGCTGCAAAAATCATCCTCCTGTACTGGTACCTCCCATCCTCTGCCTGTGTACCCCTCCCAGCCCTGGTCCCACCCCCTCTGCCTGTCTGTCCCCAAACTTCCTGCTGTAACCAAGGTGCTATCTTCCAACCTCTGCCTGCAGGCTCAGTGCCTTAGGTTCTGCTTTGGTGTAGGAATCTCCATATTTGATAAACAGCATGGCTGAAGCACTGGGATGCCGCAGGGGGTGGCCATCAGTGAAGGTCAGAGTCCTACCCACTGCGGTAGCCCAGCCCTGGCATTGTTTCCCAGAGTGGGCCCTCGGACACTCAGAGTCTCCGTCTGGACCCTAAATACTGTCATCTGGGATTTCCTCAGCACCTCCAGAAGCAATCATCTGGGGTGCTTGTAAGCAAACAAATTTCCAGGCCCACCGCAGGCCTTCTGAATCAGAACCTGCAATGCAGGAGCCAGTGAAGCCATGTGTTGAATGTGTAGTGGAGAGTCTTCTGAGTAGCTCTGGAAAACATAGGCCCAACTCAGAGTTACAGATGCTAAACTAAGCAAGGCCTGGGGTCAGGGGCTTGTCCGGGGTCACACAGGGGCTGGGGGCTCCTCCGGTGCTGCCCACTTCATGAGCCTCCTGCAGTCAGGTCCCTGAGTCATCAGCAAGAGGTTGACATTGTCCAGTCCACTATCATACAGTGCTGGGTGTACTCTATTCTTAAAAAACCTCCACCAAATGAGAGTCGAGCCCATTGCTCCTTTAGGCATTGGTTTCAAAGCGCCTGACCTGAGTTACTGGGAAATGTACTTCTGCAGAGCCCTGGCGGGCCCAGCCTGCCCAAGGCAGAGGCACTGTTGCAGCTATATTAGCTCTGACACATTTGGCTCATGTGCCCAGCATGGGCCACCCCCTTCAAACTGGGAGCGAGGGCAAAGAGTTACCAAGAGCCACCTCCTTCAGCCCTGGAGAGAGCTTGCAGGCTGCCAGGGAGGCTCGGGGCAAATGGAGGTGCCCGCAACCCCTCAAGCACTCAATCAAGAGGGTCATTAGGGTCCTGATCAGCCTCCCAGGGGGACCAGGAGACCTGGCCAGTGGTGGGTCCAGCCCGTGGGGTGACAGAAGGCTGGCTGTCAGCCCCAGCAACAGACCCCAGCCTCTAACCGTGTCTGAAAGGTAAATCCCAGCAAATGACTCCAAACCGTTTCCTTTTCACAACACATAACTCTGAAAGACAGAGGGTGTTTCAGGAGAAGAAAACAGCTTTTCTTTGGCAAAAAGGAGTCAACAGGTAAACTGTGGGTGGATCTCTTCCTTCCATCTGGTTGGATGGGAGAAGGACGTTTCCACCAACCGGCAGCCTGTTTGGGGAGGCCCCGAGCTCCCGGAGAGGCCCAGGTGCAGAGCACAGCTCCTGTCCCAGGGGACTCATACCGCCCTCCCAAGTCTCCAGTTCTCTGAAGGGACACCCAGGGCCCATTTGTAGCCGTTTTCTAGCTAAACCGTTTTCCTTGAGGCCTTAACTCTCTTCAGAGTTTTCTCATTTTCTTCCCCCCAAAATCGCACTGGGGCCTTCCTCCCCATCCCCTGTCCCCGCTCACCTTCCACCTGTGATCCTGCAGCAGGCTCCTGCCAGGCCCGCACATCACACCTCCTCAGCCTCAGATTCCCCGGTGCTCCCACCACCGCCAGGAGAACACCCTGTCCTCACCTGGGTGCAGAGCCTCTGCGACCTTTCCTGCCCCATCCGCCGCCCCCCTTCCGCCCTCGGGATACTTCGGGCCTTGTCTTGCTGGCTATGTGCCGCCCCTCGGCAGGCCGCATCCAGCCCCTCTCCCCACCTTTGTAGTTGCTCCTCTCTCTGTTGGGGGCGGTGCAAAAGGACATTTGCTGAGCTCCCGCTCTACGCCAAGCACTTATATCCTTCATGCCCCCAGACCTGTCAATAGTTCCAGAAGGAAGCCCTCTTAGATAAACAAGGAAACTGAGGCTCAGCAAGGTAAGGTAACTTGCCAAAGACCACACAGCAAGCCAGGTGTGCAGCCAAAACCGGCACCCAGCTCTGTCCCACACTAAGGTCACATCCATCCATGGCCACGCAAGCTCCCCTCCTGTGCTCACCTCCACCCCAGCCCGGCTGAGTCTCCCCTCCTCCCTGCAGCATGGCTGTCTCGGTCCCCATGGTGTCTCTGTCCTGGCACGGTCACACAATTCCTCACTTGTGTTTCTAGGCCAGGAGACACTGGGGACCTGGTCTGGTTGGACTTCTCTGGTCACCAGAGGCCTTGCTGAGAATTTGTTAAGTGCATGCATGAGTGAGAGAAGGAGGGCAAGCCTGGGATGGGGGCTGCAAGCGCCTGGCCAGGACACAACCTGAAGTAGGCTGGCCTCCCCGTGCCCCTCATTACCCAAGATGTAAACACACCAGAGGAAGTTTAGAGAAGCAGCAGCCCATGGCAGGATGATTTATGGGGAGCCGTAGAAAGCACCAAGTGTGTGTCCACAGATTGCTGCACAGTGGCAGCAGAGCAGTCTTGGGGAGCCCCTGCATCTGAGAGCCAGGGGCGGGGCAGCAGGGCAAAGGCCATTCTCTCCACCCCAGTGGGGCAAGGGGCCTGTGGCAATCCCCAGTTTCTCCTTTTGCACAGTTAGGGCCTTAACTGGCCTCTGAGGTTCTACCAGCCCTGTTGTTCTCCCAGTCCACAGCTGGTGTGTGTGTGTGTGTGTGTGTGTGTGTGTGTGTGTGTGTGTGTGATGGGGTGGGGTGGAGGGTTGGAAAAACTAGGGAGCAGAGTGAGAGGACATCAGGATGGAAGGATAACCATGAGGAGCAGGTGCAGGGGAGAGAACCTTCCAAGTACCAGGCATGGCTGGAAGCAAGGCCCAGAGGTGGCATCAAGATGCAATGGAGCCAGAGCCTTGTGGGTACCACCATGCAGGGACAGAGAGTACAGGACACACATGCACAAGGAGTCATTGCCATCCTGGGCCTCGGTTTCCCCGAGGTATGAGCAGATGTCCAAAGTCCCCTCAGAGGGAAGAGACACAGTGCTTCACCCTCAGTCCCTGGGAGGGCTCTGCACACCCCCTGCCAGCCTGCCCATGGGCCTGAGGTCTCCAGCAACTCCTCCTCCTTCTCCTGGGAAGGTCCACAGTGGTCAGTGTCTGTGAGGCCAGAACCCCCTGTGATTAGAGGTAGAAGATAACCACATGAGAAATAGGAAGCCAGATCACTCAGTGAATTAAAGCACAAAGGAATTCAGACACAATGAACTTCAAATCCCAGCCCCTCCTACATGCCTTGAGGCTGATAGAGTAAATGAGGTGGCTTGTGAAGTGGTCAGCTGGCATCAGATCACTGGTGACATTTGGCAGTCATTGCTCCCAAAGCTGGTGGCTGGACTCTCAGAGGCCGGTGTAGGATGGCCTACCACCCACTCCCCGGCAGGAGCTGCTCATGGGCCTTTGGCACGTCTCAGGCTGCGCCCCCCCCCCCCACCATTTAGTAGCTGCCCACACACCGGTTACCCAGCTCTGTGTTCAGTGATGGCGAGGACAAGAGCAGGAAGGGTCTCCAGTTACGGCCAGGCGCCATATATGCAGCTGGAAGAGCCTTGGAGCCACAGTCAGCCAGCCTGTGCCTGCAGAGGGGCCCCGTCAACAAGGGCTAAGGGAGGACGCAGGCCTTCCCAGCAGAGAAGCCCAAGTGGCCAAAGGCGAGGCTGGCTTGGGCCTTAGACACCAGGACCTGTCACTTTAGATTCCTACCTGTGTCTGACTAGCTAAGCCCAGAGAGGCTGAGGCCCAGATCTGAGTCACAGTGGGGTCTCCTCCAGCCAGCTCACAGGCAGAGCTCCACCCCCAGGCAGCAGGACCACCGGCCAACTAGGCCCTGCATGACCCAACTCCATCTCCACTGTCTCCTCAGAACCCTCGAAGGCAGTCACCCAGGGCACAGCCCAGCAACCCCTTGCATTGGGAAGAAGGCCATGACCCCGAATCTCCCAGAACCCAGCCCTGGATGGCTCTTAAAGACCCCTGAGTGCCAAAATTGGACCCATGCCCCAGGAAGCCCTAGGGAGGGGCAGACAGCTGACACCATCTCAAGCACCAGCCCTACTTTGCTGTGCTTCATACCTTGGACTCCTCCCGAGAGCTCACTTCTGACTTCTGCTGCTAGAAAACATTATAAAGTCCCTAGGTCTGTGCCTGCTCCTTCGTTGTACACATGGGGAAACTGAGGTCTAGGGGACAGGACTTGCCCAAACTCACACAGGAAACAGGAAATAGGGCAGGCAGAACAGAGCTCCTGGCCTCCCGCAGGCAAAGGGGCCCTTCCCCACTCTAGGGCCCAGTTGGCTCAGAGAAGACGTGGCCCCTTGGTGCCAGCTGTCTGAGGAGCCTGGGAACTCAGAGTGTTTGGTTTGGCTTTGAAGCCACTTTACCATGAGATGATTTTCCCCAGCGTGGGCCTAGGGGCCAGGGGATCTGGACTGGGGACTGTGCTTTGTGAGCAGAGTGGGCCGAGGAGGCAGGGGTGTGTGGAGGGGCTTTCCTCACCCTCCCACCTTGCCACATTTCCCTGGGACTCTTTCCAAGCAATAAACACCCCTCAGGCTCCAATGGGAAGTTTGCATCTTTGGGTTTCAAAGTGTGAAAGCAAATGCCTTTGGGTGCCTTGTAAGACATAGTTTTCCTAACTCCTTGGTCTTCCTCCTTGTGGCAGGGCTGGGCACAGCATCCCGGAGGTACACAGCCTCCTTTCCTGCCACCAGCCCTCCCGGCCCAAAGGACAGGGCAGCAGCTAGCAAGGGACTTTCGTAGACCTTTTGTGTTGTGTACAGGGGTTTTCTTTGCACTAGAAAAGAAAGTGGGGGAGGGGCTGAGGTAACCATCTGCTCTGCGCATGGGCATGATCCCTCCCAGGGCCTCGGCCACATGAGGCCTTGTCTCCCACATTGGCAAGTCCCCACCCACAGGTTTTTGAGGTCTCGGCAAGAAGCACCACATCTCCCTCTTGGGCTCCCCAGTATGTGTTTGCACAGCCGCTCAGTTAGGGAAGGCACCTAGGCCTGGCTCCGGCTGCCTGGTGCAGTCTGTGTCCTAATCCCCTTCAGCTGTTTCCTTATCTTGGTTATGGGAGTAATGAGATGACATATGTTTGGCATCAAGCATGGTGTTTGCCAGCAGATAGTAAGTGCTCTATGAGTGGAAGGTGTTATTAGTGGCAGAGATGCAGACACAAACATGCTAATAATGATACTAAAAATAGCCAAAACCATGTCGTGCTTCCAGCATGCCAGGCATTCTTCTAAGCACCTTACATACAGGAACCATTCAAGACTCATACACATTAACAGGTGCCTATGACACAGTGAGATCCCTGAGACACGTACGGGGTTTCATGGGAACCTTAGCTCTCCCAGGTGGCTCCAGGTGAGGGATACTGAGTCAGACCTTCAAAGGTGAGTTGGAAAATGGCCCCAGAACATTAAATGTGACTGGAGAGGGTGGTGTGCATTGGGAAAGCCAGGAAAGGCGAGGTCAGCCGGCCCCAGATAAGGTGAGAGGTGTCAGGAGCTCTGAAGGCTGGCACAGGGTGGGAGGCCTGACTTGCCAGATTTTGTGTGTGGTAAGGGGCATTCAAAGCTGTCTGGTCTGCCCCCTCCAGCTCCACGTGCACACTCTGTTCAGGAGTGTCTTCCCTCTGTCCAGGGTGTGTGACAAGCCTGATAGCTCCCCTGGGAGTTTCTGAAGACCAGAGCATGGTGCACCACAGCTCCAGGTTGAGAAGCGCCTCAGGCTAGGAGGCAGCAGGACTGGGAGTACAGCAGAGGGAGGGGTAGGGCAGGGAGTCAGGATCCCTTCCCCAACTGAGGGTGTTGAGACACTCCCTCCCAGAGCAGTGGTCTTAGCCCATGTGGAGGCAGGAGTGTGCTTGGCAACCCCTGGGCTTCCTGCCCACCCACCAGGCTGAGGCTGAGTCCGACTCTGTGGGAGGCATGGGCCGGGATGGCAGTGGGGCTGGGCTACTGTGGTGATGACCACAGAGCTCCCCACAGTGATGTGGCCAGTTGTTGGGTGCACACGGCCTGGTGGGGTGGGGGCCCCTAGATGACCCAGGGAGAGAGCAGCCAGCCAGGCGGAGAGAGGGAGCACTGGAAAGCAAGGCGGTGTGCCCACACTGCGGTCACCCAGGAGCCTGCTGGGAATGCCTGCTGGGAGCCTGGTGGGTCTTGCCTTGAGTCCTAGGGCAAGTACTTAACCTTTTGTGCCTTGGTTCCTCCATAGCAAAAAAGGAGACAGTAGTCATACCTGTCTCATGGTGTTGTCATGAGGATGAGAGGTCAGTGTATGCCGAGTGCGCCACACAGAGCTGGCACAGGCCTGAGGCTTTGTGAGTACCTCTCTGGCCTGCCAGGAGTGCCCCCCGCCGTGTGCAAGCTGGACACACTTCCTTCACAGCCCCAACCCTTTTTGCCATCCCAGAGCCTCCTCTCAGGTCTTCCTATGTCTCTGTCGTTGTCCTAACTCTTCCTCAGTCCTGTCCCTCTCTTTGCTCATCATTTCCTCTCTCTCTCTTTCCAGAATTCCACCCAGTCATCCGGTCCTGCGCCCTGCCTGGCCCCCAGCCTCCCCGCCACTTCCCAATGCTACCAAGCCCTGGCCTCGGCCTGCCAATTCATTCTGCACTCAATCTCTTGTTATTTCTCTCTGTCCCACTTTCCGTCTGTCTGTCTCTCTCTCCCTCCTCTCTTTTACGTAGGCTTTCTTGAGCCAGCAATCTCACCCATTACCTCTGAAACTGGATTCTGTTCTTCTAGGTTCATGAACAATTGCACCTTTCACTTAAACTACCTGTGTGTGTGCAAAGTGAGGCTGACCCCAGCCTCCTGCTGCCCCTGCTGCCTCTGTGACCTGGCCACCACTCAGCCTCCCTGAGCCTCAGTTTCCCCATCTGGCGAACTTGGGAGGAAGACCTGCAGGGAAGGTGCATTTTGAGGATCAGAGACACTCTCAGTGAATGATAACCCTGATAATGAGGGCGGAGAGATAGCGCAGCTGTTCCTGCATTTTGTTTTCAGACTAGGGAAGGGCAGAGCAGAAGGGCTGGGGTGCCTGTGCGCAGAGTTGTGGAGGCTGAGTGCCTCCATGTGAGTCTAGGTCAGTCTCCTCCATAGCGCTCCAATTCTTTCTACCTGGGGCCCATTTTGGGTGGTCACACTGGGGACCTGCAGCCCATGAGCCTGGCATGGGAGGGCGAGTGCAGCCTCAGGAGTCCAGCCTGCTGGCTGTGTGGCTCTTGGTTATTCCCTTTCCCTGTCTGAGCCCCTCATTTCCTTCTCTATTTTATGAGAAAAAAAATAAACCCACTAAAAGTGAATCTAAACCCTAGGCCACAGCCCAGGATGAGGCTGCTGAGCAATCACTCCAAGTTTCCTGTGTTTTCTCCTTCCAGCACCACTGCCTCACCACCCCCGCTGCCCCTGCAGCCCACGCACAGCTCTGGGACCACCAAGCCCCCCTTTCAGCTCTCCGACCAGCTCCAGCAGCACGAAGAGCCAGCGCTCCCCAGCAGCTCCACGCCTGGCCACACGTGGCCCACCCTTGGCCTCCTCCCTGCCATTGCTGCCAGCATCGCAGCCCCCTTCCTGCTGCACACCCTCGGGCCCTCTTGACCCCCGCCGCCCCAGGCAGAGAGGCCAGAGAAGCCACAGGAGGGTCTGTGGCCATCTCCCACTGCCCTTGCCCCCACCTCCAGGGGTGCCTGACCCCTCACGGGCAGTCCAGATGGGATTCGTTAGAACACTAAAGCTTTATTGTACCCAAGTTACATCTTCTTTTTTGTAGAAGGATCTTAATTTCCCATAGTGCTATGGGGCTCTTTTGTAAAATATGTGTCCATATTAAAAGAGAAAAATGTATTTATTCTATTGATAAAACTATTTTTATGTGACCTATGTTAACAGCCCTTTTATTAGCCCCAAAGCCAACCCAGGCGGTGAACCCAGGTTGCCAGGACATCTGCCACCTCATGCAGACTGTGCCTTTGAACTGGCTTGCTCCTGGATTAGTGAAAGCCTCCTGTGTCTGGGGTTGGCTTCTCCCACCACAGGGACCTCAGAGAGAGGGGCAGGCAGACAGGCTTAGCTTTTGTGAAGCTGGATTTGGGAGCCAGAGATGTGAACGGCCCTTCCCTCCTCTGGATGCATCCTAGTCCTGGGAAAATACTTTAGGATTTGAAAGAATGCTGCTATTTTGAAAATCCTGAGTGTCTGTGAACTGGCCCTCCAGAGCTCTTGGTAAGTGTTAAAACCAAAGCACCAGGGTGAGGGAGGAATATTGGTGCTGAGGGAGATGGTCCCCCAGCCCCACGTGACAGACTGTTAAATTGAGATCCAAAGAGAGGATGGTGGTTTCCCAAGGTTACAAAGCATGTGGGAGACCCGGGGGATGAATCCAGACCTCTCTGTTCTGGCATCATTAATCCAGCTTGGCTTATAGGAGAGGCTATTGAAGTCATAGCTAAATGGAGTGATCTGGCTCAAAGGACAAGAGTGGGCACAGAAGGGCAGTTGTAGGGACAGGGGCTCCAGGAGTCACATGGTAATGAGAGCACGGCTTGTCCAGAGCCTGGGGCATGACAGGCACTTTGCATACTCACTTTATCACTGATCTTCAGACCAGTCCTGTGAGATATGATTGCCCCATTTCACAGACAAGGAAACTTAGCCCCCCCAAAGGATATAAAGGCCCTTGCTCAAGATCACCCAGCTGGAATGCTGCTTTAGGTGAGTGTGGTTCAGAAGTGATGCTTGTCTCTACCATATTCGGCCATGTTCTCTCTGCACAAGGAAGCTCCAGTGGAGGCAGATCTCATCAAATGGGCCAGCACAAGCTTCTTACTCCAGCCAGAGGGATGCCTTGGCCACAGTTACTCATGTTGGTTCCTCTGGCCAGACGCTCTGGTAACAGCATGTGCCACATGACCCATGCCCAGACTTGTATTACGCAGCCAACGAGAGGCTTTTCTGCTAAATCAAACCTAGAGGCTGAAGGGTGGCTGTTGGGGTCTAGGGAAGCAGAGCAGCCAAATGGAGGCAGTCATGCAACTGAGACTCGGAGAGACTGACCCAGCTCCTCTGCCTTCAAGGTGGTGGCCAAGCAGGCAGAGGACCTAGGGTGGCTGCCTCCCAGCCCTGAACTCTCATCAGTTACAAATTCCTGGAACCTGAGAGCAGAAAAAGCCCTCATTCACACATAGCAGTAAGAGTAATAATGAGTCCCAAAGAGGGAAGGCACTTCCCCAAGGCTGCGCAGCTGGGCATGTCTGCTGACTCCCGGCCCAGTGTTCCCGAGTGTCACTGCACCACGGGTTTCCCTGGTAGGCCCGGTACTGGCTGATTAGACCCAGTGCCAGTGTGCCCATCTTGGCAGCTGTCTCCCTTCTGACATGGTAGAATTCTGGGGAGCTCCTTGGATGGCCAGAGGCCCATGGGCATCTTGGTGAGCAGCCAAATTCTTTCCAGCTTGGCCCCAAATGGATATGTTTGAGCTTGCTGGCGGGAACCGTGAGTTCTGCTTCAGAGGGTCCAGCCAGCCCCATGGGCACCATACTGTAAACTGAACTTGACCCCAGCCAGAGCTGGAGTCCGTTTATCCTTGGCAGAGATGTGACTTCCTATTTCTGAGCGGGAAGGGGCTTAACTGGCTTACAAAGCAGGCTCAGAAGGCCTGTTGGACATCAAACGGATCGTGCAGAGCACTATTTGGATGAGATAAGTGTAAAGGAATTAGAAACACACAGGCCAGATTTCCCTCTGTTCAGGGCAAAGTGTGGCATGGGCTGTATTGAGATGGAGCTTGAGTTTAATTAAAGATGAAGCATTTGGGTAAACAGTCCAGGCACCTGACTGCATGCCCAGATCTGTGCCAGGCACAGGGCCAAAGAAGTAAATTAACATAGCATGTGATTAGCTGGTGCACACAGTGCCAGGCTCTCTGTTCAGTCTGAGTCTAGCCATCTTTCCTGGGCTGGAGAAATTCATCATCAAGACAGAACAAGCCACCCAACCCTAGGTTCCTAGAAGGAACTTTAGAGGTTATCCTGCCCAGGCCTCTGACCACAGGTACATTCAGCCCTAGCCTACCCCAGATCCCTCCTCTGGGAAGATGGGGGATTCCAAACTCTCCTTCAACCATGCACTCAAGTGTTGAAAGATGGATGGGCAGCAGATGGATGGGCCACTTGATTAGGCAGGTATGTGCGAACAGGACAGCCTGAGCCAATGGGAGTCAGACATCTGCAGCCTGAGTTTGCCGATCCCTGAGGACCACCCACGGTCAGGGCTTGAAATGAACTGAACTTGCTGACTTATATCCCAGAAGAGCTGAGGCATATATATGGAGATCTGCATAGCTGGGGCACTTGAATTCTCCCATCCTGGGCCAGAGAACTACCATTCCACCAGCAGTCACTCACATACTTTGGAATGATCTAACTGCTACTGTTGACATTTTTCCAGCATATTCTATGTGCCTAGCCTCATAGAATTCCCCTATTGCTCTGAGGGCATCATGTACATTTCTTAAAGCTTTCATGTTTGACCTTGAGGCAGGCAAAAAAGATGGAAGGACTAAGGTCCAACAGGTTAAGTGGCCCTCAGTCACCTGTCTCTCAGGAAAACTAATTGAATGACTAAGGGACTTTCTGGGGCTGGTCAGCATGGCCGTGTCTTCTTGTCTTCTTCCAGGCTGTTCTAATGCGCCAGCGGCTAAGTGATGGCAGGGAGAGTGGAGATGTATGAGTCAGGCTGCAGGCAACTGCAAAGGGCGATCACCAGGCTCTTTAATTATGAGATTCAAAGATCCAGCATCTGTGAAGCATGAAAACTTGTGCTGACAGGCAAATTTACCTTTGCACTGAAAGACCATGAGCAGATTTTCCTTATGCTGGATGCTCTGTCATCTACTTCCTGGCCCCTGCTAGACATGGACAAACCAGGGGGTTCAGTATCCTTGTCCTACATGCCCAGTCTTCAGCCTGGTGCCATTGTCACAATGGATCTCAAAGAAACATCCACCCCAAAAGGAAAGCTTATGAAAAACACCATGAAAGACAACAAGAGTTGCACCTGGGAACTGCAGCTCTGATTGTACCCTGTGTGGCAGAGAACAGAATTGGGGCTGGTGAAAGTGTTTCAGTGGTTATGGAAAAGAAACCAAAGTCCTCAGGATATTCTAGACCCTCCATGATTTGGTCCTGCTGACCCTGCTAGCCACAGCACTCATCACTCCCACTCTGTGCCTGGCCAGACTGAATCATAGTTGTTATTTCTAGAATAGATGGGATGTTTCACATGTGCCACTCCCTAAGCCTGGAAACTCTCTTCTCTTTCCCCAACTCTTCATCCTTTGAGAATTGACTCAGATAGCACCTCCTCCAGGAAGCCTCCTGTGGTTCCTTTGTGCTTTCTTAGCATCTATCACAATACTCACTGATCAGTGTTGAGACTGTCTGATAGTGTCTCTGTTCTTTTCTCGGACTGTGAGCTCCTCCATGGCAGGGGTCATGTGAATTTGTCTTTGTATTCTCATCTGACACAAAAATGGCACTCAATTCATCTTTGGTAGAGAAGAAAGGAAGGAAGGAAGGAAGAAGAGAGGTAGACCTTAGCTGTGCTAGTGGGCTAACCTCTGCAAAGTCAAAGCTGTCCAAGGACGGCCAAGTGCCCTGCAGCTGGTGAGTCTCCTGTCAGGAGGCGTGGGGGGGGATGTGCTAGGAGAACTGAAGCCTTGGCAAGGGGAGGGGATAGGTAACACTGAGGGTCCCTCCTGGCTCTGTAATGCTCAGGTTATATGAACATTATTATGTTTCCAAGAATTCATCTAAGCAGCCAAAAACATCACCTGTACGGGCTGTTTAAACCAGTAGAGTTCTGGAATCAGTCCAGGTTCAACATGCCCCCAACTCCACCCAGCCCCACCTTCTTCCACAGCCCTGCCAGGCCTGGTGTGAATTAGCAGGCTTGCCTGCTGCCCTGGGGCAGGGGTCTTCTGGGCCTGGGGAGGGCTGGACAGGAACCTGGGGTGGGAGGCACAGGGTAGGGGAGGGGTCATGAGAACTGGCCCTTTCCCCAGAGTCTCAGCACATCCCCACTTTCTCCAAACATGATACTCTGGCTACTCCTTCACTCTGCTGGGTGACCTTGGGCAAGTCCCTGCCCCTTTCTGAGCCTACATTTCCTCTTTTGTCAAATAGAGACCTTGTCTCCAGCCTGGACTCTTCAAGGGCAATGGGGAAAGCCGTGTGCAATCTCCAGGCTCCATGAAGGTGAGGTGCCACCCATCTCTGGGCTCAGTGCTTGGCTTTTCTTCCAAGATACACAGGCTGCCATGGAATTGGAGCATGTGTTAGGCAGGAAAAGTGACAGAATTGTACACCTTGAAGGGCCCCTCTACTGCCAGTCCCAGTGCCAGGAAAGTGGGCTCTGGATAGGATCCAAGTCTAAGACATTTCCAGTGAGGCTTTCAGGCATCCCGAGCCCAGTGGCTGGGCAGCAGAGGCTGACTCCTGGCCAGGGGAGATTCTAGCGCAGTGGAGGGGCAGGCAGAGCCCCATTCCTGAGAGATTGCAGAAGGTCCTGAACTGACTCACCATGTGACACGAGCTTCAAATCGTAATGTATTTCAAAGGTATTGGTGATGCTGTTCTTTTAATCACCTCTTTTCCTCTCTGTGAATGCTCATGAACAGTTCTTGAAGAATATAATAGAAGACAAAGAAAGATGCTATTAATGTTATTTTGCCAAAAATATTTTT